TAGTCGTATATAAAGGAAGGACACTATGTTAATATAATAATTTAAACTCAACAATGTTTTTTATTAATTATAATAAATGTAAGATAATGCATGTGGGTTATCATAAGTTCAATTATAAGTATAATTGGGATGGGAATAACCTTAACAGTGTTATGAAGGAAAGAGATCTTGGTGTAATAGTTGATCAGTCTCTAAAGTCATCCAAGCATTGTGCTGTTGCTAGTGTTAGGCAAGTATTGAATACAAGTCTAAAGTGGTTATAATTTTATTGTATAGGTCAAATTTGGAATATTGTGTTCAGTCTTGGGCTTCTTACCTGAGGAACGACATTGAAATGTTGGAAAGGGTTCAGAGAAGGGTTACTAGAATGTTGCCTGGGATGGAGAGGTTGTCATACAATGAGAGGTTGAAATCTCTCAAATTGTTTTCTCTTGAAAAAAGAAGAGTTAGTGTGGATCTGATTGAGATGTTTAAGATTGAATAGGGAATTGATAGTGTTGATGTATCATCTTTTTTCATATTTAACAGTGAGAATACTAGAACTAGGGGACACAAATATAATTTTGGCAAGGTAGGAGTCATCTTTAGCTAAGACAGTTTCATTTCTCTAACAGGGTGGTTGTCCTTTGGAGTGGGTTGCCTTTGGATGTTGTAGAGGCAGTAAATTTAATTCAGTTTAAGAAAAAGCTTGAGAAGTACATGAACGAAAAAGGCTTTAAGATTTAAAAAAAAAATTCTTTTGATTTACTTTAGAGGATGAAACAGTTGAAATGGACCAATAGTTCCCATGTTGTCCTAAAACATTGTTATGTTAAACAATAAGAACCACTCCAGTTACAGTATATATACCGTTATTGGTCCTGGTTGTCAACTTATTGTGATAATGGATAATGTCTGTGGTAATAGCACCCACATGAGTTGGGGATATCCTATCTATCAGCCATCATGAAAAATTATAAAAATTATATAAAATACTAAATAGAACAGACACATTATCCATTATGACAACAAGTTGATAACCTGGACTGGTAAAGGTAATGCGAGATTTAATTCATTATTGTTTTATAGTGTTGATTGAATCACCTATAAACAATTAATGTAATCAGTAGTTCGTAAGCTATTTATTTATATACATATATAGATAGATATGAACTGTAACTAGATGGGTTACTATTATTTCAGTACTTAAAACATATATATAATTTAAATACTGAAACAATAGTAACCCCTCCACTTATAGTTTATATATAGATATATACGTAAAAGCCACTATCTGTTTGTATTGCCCAGTTTGTTGCTAACACTCAAAGTGCCTTGGTGGTCAGAGCACCCGAACCTCAAGCAGAAGACTCGCAATTAAATACTAGTACAGTTGGGAATTTATTTAGATTTTTTTTTATTGATAAGTAATCATGTTTAGAGCAAGCTCTTTTAATGTTTGGATAAACAGGAATATCATGAGATATTAAATTAATATTTGTTAACAGTGGATGTCAAAGTGGCTCGGTGGTCATGTGGAAGTCTTGTGTTTAAATCCTAACCCCAGTCGAGTCAGGATTTTATGTTAATTTTGTATTTTATTTTATAAATGATCATACTTTCAGCAAGCTCTTTAAAAGCAATGCATATTAAATCAACAAGTTGAGATACTGTTTAACATTAGTATTAAAAAATGGCATGTTTACAGCATCAAGACCCCTGAGATACTCATTTCAAGTAAACACTTCTAACACCATCTATCAAATAAATTCTAAACTAAAAATTGTCCAGAAACAGTTCGAGAAAGAAAACATTGCTTTGGAAGAGAAAGAAAAGTAATTGATGACAAGATCGAGAAAGTTCGGGAAAAATTAGGATAAATAAAGTGAAGAAGACAAATTCATGCTGAAAGACATACAAATGGATACACCAGCTGGTTGTTAACATAACATAATCAATAACAGGTGTTAATGAAGTGAGATCTTTGTGACTATAATTTTTAAATGATAGGATTTAAGGTTCTCAATTACATCTTACGATATAATTATTAAAGTATCTCTGAACTGAACAATTCATCTTTTATGTTTGTCATGAGTTTGATTATTGTCATAATACAATATATGTTTCTCTACAAATGTGGGAGATGAGACTTACCCCAGGTTCAGAAATAGAGATTGTAGAAGGAGCAACAGCAACATTCACCAGCTGGTAATCTTCTGGTGGAACCAATGCTACTAATTCATCTATTGCACAATTCAGGACATCAATACCAGTAGCTTTCAGAGTTGGGGTGGTGCCAAGATAGTGGGCCTTCAGTCGTTTCTTGGGCTCCTCCATCGGGGTTGGAAAAGACTTAGCTGCAGGAAGTCAACAAAAATACTTTCATGTCTACACAAGTTCTTTTTACAGCTTTAAATTAAACTCTATACATGACTATACTTGAGTAAGAGAAACTATAATAGAGAAAGACTTACACAAAAGTATAAACACTGCATCTTTAAAATAATAATAATGGTCAAATAAAAACTGAGAATCCAGGAATTCATTACATTAATGACAACAGGGATGAGTTGATGTTATTATGATGTTATTGGGTGATCATTAAAAATGGAGAGGCTTTCTTTAATAAAGAGTTTGTAATCTGTGATTCCAGAGTTGAGAATTTTAAAGTTTTCTAGAAGTATGAGGTGGTTGTTATTCTCACTGTCCAATTGGATACAAGACTTTGGTGGATTACCTAGCTTACATTGGCTTCTTGCTGAAATTCCCATGTGTTCGTGTACATGTATTTGTAGGTGACGTGTAGTTTTATCAATATAGGTGGCTTTACAGCCACCACAAGTGTATTTATATACAACCCACAAGAGCATAGGAATGGGTAGTGTCTTTGATTTTAAACATATTTTGAATTCTAAATGTTGACGTAAATACTAAACGTAGCTTAATTTGTGGGAAATTTGTTTTGATTATTTTTTTTAATTTGATATTTGAGTTTAAAACTTTGTTTGCCAATGAAAGGAGTGATAAGAACTAGTGGATATTTTGTAACAGTGTGTGATTTTTGGTAGGTTCTATTTTATTTGGTAAGAATGTTCATGTGATGAGTGTAAGAAATTAAGGGGATAACTGTCACTTTGTAAATTGTTATGAATTTTTAAAATTTCTGAGTGAAGACAGAAATAGTCAGAACAGATATTATAGACTATGTTCAGAAGATTTGGAACAAGGTTATGTTTGAAGGAGTCTGGATTAAAACTGTCGAAATGAGTGTATAAGCCAGTAAATGTTTTCTCATGGTAAGTAGATGTGGCAAAGAGATTGTTTATTTGAACATCTAAAAAAAGCTTAAGTTATTGTTTTCTTCCATCTTACATGTAAAGTTTATACATGGATGTTGTGACTTTAGGTATTCTAAAAACTTCTTGACGTGATGAGTGTTGTGGAGAAGTAGAAAATTATCATTAACGAGCCTTCTGTATAATACTGGTTTGTAATACAGGGGCAATTATCCAGCCATTGATGTTTGAAATAACGTAGAAATATATTTGCAAGGGTTGAATCTAAAGGTGATTCCATTGCTGTTGATAGAATTTAAGAAAATTCTGAAATGTCTGTTTTTAAAGATGTTTTTTGGTATTACCGTGTTTTTAATATTTGTTACAATCCTTGACTTAATTTGACTTAATTTAGTATACAACCCATAGAATATTATATTGCCAAAGATGTTAGAACAGCACGTGTATAAAAATTTGTTAAGTTTCCTCACTGTAACTTGATTTTCTGGTTTTTGTATAATTAGTTCATGGTCATTATTGTTTTAACTTGTCTAGTATTTCATTTCACATATTTAACCAGTTACAACATGAAATGCATGGTTCAAATAAACTGCTTGTTTGTATAAAAAGTTTTTCTAGTGAAAAATAATTGAAACTACAAAGATGCTCACATTAATATATTTTTGCAACATGGAGAGTCTAGACCATCCATCAGGTAGTGTTTAAATTATATTTTATTTAATTGGTGTAAACTAGGTCCAGATTATCTTTGATTTAGTGAATTGTATAATGCAGTGTTGTACTGAATTACCGACTTTTGTGTGTATAAAGATCTTTGTTGTGTGTATTTATAAGGGTGTTTCTGTCTTTAAATCTACTATTTTGTTATTGCTTTATGCAAGTTGTTCATTGTGGTAAACAAATGATATACTCAAATATTTATCATATAAAAGATTATGTATAGAAACTACAAGGACATTATTTCATCTTCAATTTTGTTATTCATTTATGTAAATGTTTCATTGTTTTTATAAACAATATTCAAATATTTATCTACTAGAAGATAATGTTTAGAAACTACAAGGACATTATTTCATCTTCAATTTTGTTATTCATTTATGTAAATGTTTCATTGTTTTTATAAACAATGTTCAAATATTTATCTACTACAAGATAATGTTTAGAAACTACAAGGACATTATTTCATTATTTTAATAAACAAATGTGTTCAGATATTTAATTAATAGAAAATACAGTAATATGATTTTACAGTATTTATGACTTATAGTCATGTAGATCTCATGATTATTTGTTATTGTATTTAGATTGATCCGAATAACGAAGATGAAACTTCACGTCGCATCAAGAAAGCTCTAGGAGACTTCACCCATGTTCAGCAGTATCTCATACAAGATCCTAAACACCTGATTGGTATATCGCAGTCAGTGACGGCATCCCAACCTCTCCTTGACCCTAACACAGCTTCCTCCAATATTGATGCTCATCTGCAAACTAATGCTCCCAAAGCTAGTATTAATGAAACAGGGATAGACTCTTCTTTTGTGAAAACAACTGTTGACAACAGCTATGTTGAAAGTGTTCCAAAAGAACCTCGAACTTTCAATGGTCAACACAAAGTTGATAGCACTTCAGGTGCTCTTCAACAAAAGTCTCCAAATTCGGTTAAGTTCAATGCACATTCTAAAGAAATCACTGTAAAAGTAGAGGAAGTTGGAAAGAATTCTCAACTACAACCTTCTCCTCATGTTCCCAGTAAGGTTGTAACAACACCTCCAGCTCCCTGTGTTCCAGTCAACAGGGTAGAAGAGGATTACAAGGAGAGAACAAGTAATGAACACACTACCTCACTGCAAGTTAAAAATAAACCCTTTCACGAAAGTTCTGTTTCAAATGGAAATTGCCACTTACCAAAATATAGAAACAAGTCCAACAGAGATCACAAGAAAGTTAACTTATCTCACTTACAGGTAATTCATATTATTCTGTTTTTAATGGTTAGTGTTTGGACTAGTTTTGGAAGATTTTATTGATCATGATTTATAAGATGTAACTGGAGAGAGTTTGAGTTTTCCTCCTAGCCATAAAGTTTTAAAATCTATTCAAAAATGTATTATAGGAAAAGGCAGGCATACTTAGACAGCAGAATACATAGCCGTGATAAGAATTACTTCAAAACAGAAATATCTACATATTTTTTGTTAATTGTTCAGTAACCATAACAATATATTTCTTTCAACTGTGAGTACTGGTTTTTTGGCACACAAATCCAGTGTCTGTGTGTAAAGAGTAAGATTGACTGATCATCCAATAGTTGGAATAGTTAAACACTTTTTTTTCATTCTAGTGATCCTTTGATCAGCAACTGGTTGGATCAGTTAAGAATTTTTATTATCTTTTGATCATCCAAAGGTTGGATTAATTAAGGATTTCTCATTTTTTGATCCTTTGATCAGCAACTGGTTGAATTGGTTAAGTTATTATTATGATCTTTTTGATCATCCACAGATTGGATTAGTTAAGCACTTATCTTTTTTTGATCCTTTGATTAGTAACTGGTTGAATTGGTTAAGTTTTTATTATGATCATTTGATCATCCACAGGTTGGATTAGTTAAGCAGTTTTTTTTTGATCCTTTGATCAGCAACTGGTTGAATTGGTTAAGTTTTTATTATGATCTTTTGATCATCCACAGGTTGGATTAGTTAAGCACTTATCTTTTTTTATTATTCTTTGTTCAACCATTGGTGTTCAGCTATTTCTAGTCCGTAAGTTTGAGAATTTTACATTTCTTCTGATGACAAATAACCACTTGGAAATAGTTTTAATTTCCAGTGTTTTAAGGGTGATATAAAACTGCTCTGTATCAGTTTTTTTTCACCTTTTCCTTGTTTTACTCTACATTACCTAATCATTATTGGGAACCATTATAACAGTTGTAATGCTGAAGACATCATTAGGTGGTAACAACAAAGCATTAGTATGAAGGAGTGGTTAGTGAGTCTAAGTGTAATGTAACTGTACATTTAAGCTAATTCAGGCTTGTGAAGCCACACAGTAAACATGCTTCTATAAATAGAAACTCTTCAGACTTTCTCATACTACAATATAGTTGCATAAGCTACAACCTTCCTAGAAGGAGACAGTGGTTCTGTGATCTTACACTTGAGGCACGTTGATGTTTCTGTTAGAGAAACAAACTGTTTATTAATCACCTTATACTTGTGTAATTGATAAAAAGGAAAATTGGATTTTTTGTTGATTGATATGTATATTTCAATGATAAATAATAACTTAATTATTAAAAACATCTTAAGTTTTAAATCACATCTTGAGAAAAGAAATTATCAGAGCATCCAGTTTATCTTAAAACCAATTTGTACAAAATCAGTATAATATTCAGTTAATGGTAACACCTGTTGTAGAATATCTGTGTTGCTTAACATATGACAGATGTATCATGTTAATGGTGGAGGTGCGTAATACATTTGTGTCGAAGAAATACTGTTAAATTAAACATAGAGAAAATAGCCATGGTGCTTAACATATGACAGATGTATTATGTTAATGGTGGAGGTGTGTAGTACATTTGTGTCGAAGAAATACTGTTAAATTAAACATAGAGAAAATAGCCATGGTGCTTAACATATGACAGATGTATTATGTTAATGGTGCAGGTGTGTAGTACATTTGTCTCGAAGAAATACTGTTAAATTAAACATAGAGAAAATAGCCATGGTGCTTAACATATGACAGATGTATTATGTTAATGGTGGAGGTGTGTAGTACATTTGTCTCGAAGAAATACTGTTAAATTAAACATAGAGAAAATAGTCATGGAAATCAATGAACATAAACTATTATGTTATATACTTTTCTTTAGAGATATGTTTATGCAAAGTGGTATATTGATGGCAAGTAAAGACTGGAAAATGATGATAATTGTCTAAAATAAGATGGAGTTGGTTCTCATGATAAGGCAACACATTTGAAAATGAGTATATTATGAGGTTAGGCTCAACCTGAATAATGTAGCTAGTATTACATTGGAAATTACACTATTATATTGCTTTGTGTGTGTATCAGTGTTTTATGTTCACTAGGGGAAGTCTTGTGATGGAAATCATGGAGAAGTAGAACACATACTGAAGGTAAGCTTATTGTCTGTGTGTTTGTGTGTTTTTATGTTCACTTGGGAAAGCTTGTGAAGGGAACCATGGAGTAGAACACATCTGTAGATAAGGTTATTATCTGTGTGTATTTTATGTTCACTAGGGGAAGCTTGTGATGGGGAACCATGGAGAAGTAGAACACATACTGTAGATAAGGTTATTATCTGTGTGTTTTATGTTCACTAGGGGAAGCTTGTAATAGGAACCATGGAGTAGAACACATACTGTAGATAAGGTTATCTGTATGTTTGTATGTGTGTGTGTGTTTTATGTTCACTAGGGGAAGCTTGTGATGGGAACCATGGAGAAGTAGAACACGTACTGTAGATAAGGTTATTATGTGTGTGTTTTATGTTCATTAGGGGAAGCTTGTGATGTGAATCATGGAGAAGTAGAACACATACTGTAGATAAGGTTATTATCTGTATGTTTGTATGTTTTTTTATGTTATTAATTGTATTAATTATTGGTTTGTATTCTGTAAGAAATGATTGCATAATTTTCTGAAACCATTAGATTGCAAGAGAATTTTAATTGTTATTGGGAAATCCATCTTTAATATACAACTGAACTTTTTTCCACCTCCGCTTTATTTATGTTCCAAATATTTTCATGAAAGTGTCTCCTCTGTAGATGTATTCTATGTATTATAGTTTGTGTATATCACACTTTTTTTTAAATATTGTCATTTCATATTTGAGGGGTTTACAAAACTGTCTTTTTTGCAGTGTATATTGTGCATGAAAGCTGACCTAGTAAGAGTATTTTAAAATCACATGTAGTTTCTGTATAGTTCTCATCATTTTGGTGGAGAATCCTTGTACTCTGTGGTTTTGTTTTTTCTTGTTATTTTTTGAGAATGGTTCTTCATTGTATCTTTCCTAAATTTTTTTAAAGTCCTTGAAAATGTGCTATGTATGTATTCAGGTAGGCATTTTGTAGAAGAATCTGTCTAAATTCAGTTTTTTTGTGCCTGAGCACATTCTGCATATCCAGTGTAGTTGCATCATAATAACTTCTTCCTTGCAGACACAACTCAAGCTGTAGTTATTGGTTTCTTTTGATTTTTTTCTCTGTAGAGATGTGTATATTTCAATATTAGCAGAATGTCTAGGAAGACAAGTCTAGCATTATGGACACATGTGATGTAAATGATTGAATTATGTGTTGTGTTTATTGGTAAATGTGGGGTTGTGTTACTACCATTTGTTGATGTATTGTGTAGTAGGTAAACATGAATACTTTTTATGTCAACTTCTTGATGGTCAGAATGCTTTCATTGTAATTTGGTTTGTTTGTAGTTAACTAAAATACATTTAATATAAATATTTTACTACTTGGTTTTAGTACTCAGCTCTTTCCATGTTGTATTAGGAAATGAAACAAACACTGCCTCCACCTCTCAGTGCTATAGAGACACCACGGAAAGAAGAATCCCAGTATCGCTTCTTTCCCAGCAAGGAAAAACTGGTAAGTATGTCATTCTGGACATAAAACGTGCCTCTGTATTCAAGGTGAGTAATAAGCACAAACATGAAATATAAAATGTTCATCATTTATGACTAACTGGAAAATGAATGAACTGAATAAAAACTCTAAAGTTTAAATGAGTGTTGTGACGTTGCAATCATTAATATGTTCTTGAAAATAAGCTAATGGACAGAATTAATATCCTTAATTTGGTAAGCTGATAAAGATTGTCTCATCGTGTGACTTGAACAGCAATGCAGGAAGCTAATTTCATGTCTGTTATTACATTATGTGGCACGACAGCAATATATATATATAGAGTTAATTTCTTGTTTGTTGTCATGTTGTGTGGCTTGAATAGCTGGATAAGAAATTAATTTAATGACTGTTTTCATTTTGTGTGGCCTTAATAAAGATCTAAGGAGATAATCTGATGACCATTGTCATGTCTGGTGTCTTGAATAGAGGTTTAAGGACCTACTTTGATGACTTATCTCATTTTGTGGCTTGATGATAAGTTGTTGGTTGATATAAGAGCTGTTATAATGTAGCATTTTGTAGATGAGGATAAGTTGTTGGTTGATACAAGAGCTGATATAATGCAGCATTTTGTAGATGAGGATAAGTTGTTGGTTGATACAAGAGCTGATATAATGCAGCATTTTGTAGATTAAGGATAAGTTGTTGGTTGATACAAGAGCTGTCATAATGTAGCATTTTGGGGCTTGAGGATAAGTTGTTGGTTGTTACAAGAGCTGCCAAAATGTTGATCAATTCTGCAGTGTACCTGGCACTTTGATTGGAACCACCGCTTTGTCTAACTGATGCAGATTCCATTCTGGTAAATGCTAACCAATTAGATGTGGTTGAAGAGTTGTCTCCAACTACAACTTTGGGTAAGGTATAGGGATATTGGGAATAGCCATACTGTGGAGATTGTCAGTTTTTCCTGTTCAGCATGTGAAATGCATTCTGTGGAAAATTTAACCAGGGCTTGCCAGATTGAACCCGAAGAACAGTTGACTGCATAAGCACATGTTGAGGAGGGATGTATCTCTCAATGCACCAGTGATTTTCCGTGGTGTACTTTGGACCTGGTCTGGTGAGTTATCTCATGTGCCACTATGCAGACTTTCCTGTAGTACTAGGGATATAACTATTGCTGAGATACAAAAATTACTTGGTTGTCTTTAGTTGAAGTTTTCAAGATATTCCAAGGTTCTGTGTGATTTTTCATGGGTAAATGGGGTGACCCACATTGACTTGTGAATGGAAGGTGTCTGGTGGTTGGGTATATGAGGTGACCAATATTGATGCCTTTTGACTTCCACAGACAGATGAATGGAAGGTGTCTGGTGGTTCAGCATATTAGATATGTCTTCCAGCAAGAGAAGCTGGCCTATGAAAGATGGCCCAGAGCTACTTTCAGCACCTGAGGGGAGCTCTACATCATACCTTTTGGCCTGTGTAATGAGGATAGTTCATCAACAGGTTAACAGCAGAAGAAGGTGACATCCTTATTTCACCAGTTGTCAAGTGTTGTTTTACTTTAGGATGTACATGGAAAATATTGGGATAATCCCCTGGTTACAGTGTTGTTAGGATAGTTCATCAACAGGTTAACAGCAGAAGAATGTGACATCCTTATTTCACCAGTTGTCAAGTGTTGTTTCACTGTTGGATGTACATGGAAAATATTGGGATAATCACCTGGATACAGTATTGTTAGAAAGTTAAAAAGATAATGTTATGCGTAGAAAATTGATTTTAGTGTCACTAGAATTGATCGCTAGGCTTTTTAACATATACAAACACACGTATTGGTTGTTCCTGGTGTGTATTTTTCAATTGACTTTTCTACTTTATGAATATATAAGAATATTTGATGAGAATGAGTTGATTTAATACATCTTGTGGTCAAAGATTTTGAATGACTTGAATACTCATAACATTGTTTACATCTCGAATTTGTTTAGCTATGAATAATAGTTTTTGATGTATTAATTTTTATACAAACTGTGAAGAAACTTTTTAGTTGCCAAAGTGTTAATCAAACATGGGAGATTGGAGTTAAACAAAAACTGAAACCTAGTATTTAGTTTGTGTGCAAGAAGTCTTTCTGTATATTAACTTTAAAGTGTTTATTTGCATTTGATAGATAATCCATGGAACTATCAACCTGTAAGTTTTTTATATGTAATTACTCTTGCTAAGTAAAGAGGGGAAGGTGAAAACTTGGTAGTACAGCTTTTAAGAAGGTTCCTTTGTTTTAATATTGTAAAAAAATTATGTTTGGAAAAACTCTTGGTAACAACAACTTTTATTGGAGTTAATCTTTACAATGAAAATATGTTGTTTTTTCAAGATGAATTGTTTCCATGTTGTGAATATCTTATGTTAAGCTAATGCTCAATGTTTTTATTTAACTTATTTATTTTTCCAGGAACTGGGATCTAGAGAAGTCTCGGGTACTGAGGTAAAAGGTAATTGGTTTTAGTTATTATGAGATGTAGTATTAGTTTTAAACAGTTGTGGTGTTGTATTCTCAGATATGGTGTTAGTTGTAAGGAAGTATGTGTTATCATGCCCCTAGATACAGTGTTAGTTGTTGGGAAGTATGTGTTGTCATGTCCCCTAGATATAGTGTTAGTTGTAGGGAAGTATGTGTTGTCATGCCCCTAGATATAGTGTTAGTTGTAGGGAAGTATGTGTTGTCATGCCCCTAGATATAGTGTTAGTTGTAGGGAAGTATGTGTTGTCATGTCCCTAGATATAGTGTTAGTTGTATGGAAGTATGTGTTGTCATGTTGTAAGATGTTTTAGATGTAAAGCAGTGTATATTGTCATAGTGCAAGATGTTTTAGATGAAAAGCAGTTTATATTGTCACATTGTAAGATGTTTTAGATGTAAAGCAGTTTATATTGTCACATTGTAAGATGTTTTAGATGTAAAGCAGTTTATATTGTCACATTGTAAGATGTTTTAGATGTAAAGCAGTTTATATTGTCACATTGTAAGATGTTTTAGATGTAAAGCAGTTTATATATTTACACTTCTGTGATGGTTTGATTTATAGTTGTGTATTTACCGTTTATGATAATGTATCCCAACACTCCTGTGATGGTTTGATTTATAGTTGTGTATTTACCGTTTATGATAATGTATCCCAACACTCCTGTGATGGTTTGTTTTATAGTTGTGTATTTACCGTTTATGATAATGTATCTCAACGCTTCTGTGATGGTTTGATTTATAGTTGTGTTTTTCTGTTTATGATAATGTATCTCAACACTTCTGTGATGGTTTGATTTATGGTTGTATATTTACCGTTTATGATGATGTATCTCTACACTTCATGGGGTGGTTTGATTTATAATTGTGTATGTACCATTTATGATAATGTATCTCCACTTCTGGGGTGGTCTGATTTATAGTTGTGTATGTACTGTTTATGATAATGTATCTCCACTTCAGGGGTGGTTTGATTTATAGTTGTGTATATACCGTTAAGACTTCTAGATGGCTCTTGACACAAGTTACTGTAGTAAACAAACTTCAGACTTCTAGATGGCTCTTGACACAAGTTACGGTAGTAAACAAACTTTAGACTTCTAGATGGCTCTTGACACAAGTTACTGTAGTAAACAAACTTTAGACTTCTAGCTGGCTCTTGACACAAGTTACTGTAGTAAACAAACTTTAGACTTCTAGCTGGCTCTTGACACAAGTTA